GTGTAGAGTTGTGATAGAAATTTGAAGAAAAGACGAAGATCGTAATTGTGTCACAATTTTTCAGAATGTATCGTAATTGTATTATGTATCATAAATGTTGCAGGAATTGTATTACAAATATATGATAATTGTATATTCAATGTATATTGTTACGAGCAGTTGTGCGTTCGTGACGAATTTCACAGTTTATATCACAAGTATGATAATTGTATATTAATTTATTACTATTGTATCAGGTATTATTTTGGATATTAATATTCCGGATACAAGTTAGATAGAATTGTGATACAAGTATGATACATTTATGTTTTAGGCATTGATGTATCTGATACAATTCAAATACATGTATGATAATTATCATAAAATTTCAGAATATTTTTTAACAATATAAAGCTCTCGGTAATGGCGGAAAGAGAGGAGATGAAGATTATGGGCGTAGATTAAGGGATTTTGATGTAAAGAAAAAGGAGAGAGAAGAGGAGAGGGAAAAAAAAGAAAGGATATAATTGAATCACTTAATTGAAGACACTAATAATGGGGTGAGAGTCTTTTAAAAAGCAATATATAGAATTTGTAAGAGAAACCTAGATACTTATTAAAAACTTCAAAACATAGAGAGTATAGGTAAATAAGTTTCTAGTATAATATCTCTAGGTAAAAATTCTCATTCTATGTATATTATGATCTGCAAAGTCTGGACTCGCGATTGTTGGGCTAGGCTCACCTTGTAACAGTCTAGCCCAACCTTCTTCATTTTTCAGGCGGAGTCCCTTTTGGTGCTTTTCCTGTCTTTGTGTGACAACAACGTACAAACCTTGCAATTAGTAAAGAAAATGATTAGTTACCTCCTATAGCAAAGGTTGATGCATTATTTATTTTAAATAAATATCATTTTAAAAAATTATATTCCATAACTACCTTTTAATTTTTATAGCCAAATATCTATTTATGGTTACCGCTACCCTTAAGCCATAAAATACGCCGCCCTCTCTCTCATAAAATAGTTGCCTCTCTTTCTACCATTCCCTTCTCGGAACCAAACAGAAAATCCATGCTTCCGGTCGGCGACGCAACAGCTCCCGCCGGCGAAGGCGCATGAATCGGGCCGGAATTCAACTACAACAACGAAAGAGAGTGTGTGAGGAGGAGAGAGAGAGAGAGAGAGAGAGAGAGAGAGAGAGAGAGAGAGAGAGAGATGGTGTCACTGAAATTACTGAAGTGGCTGGCCGCCAGCGTCCTCAAGTGTAGGAGGAGAAAAATCTGGCTTGACCCTAATGAAGGCAAAAAAATTTCCATGGCCAACTCCAGTATGTTTCTTCTTCTTCTTCTTCCTTTTATTTAAGATCTGCTTCCGATTCTGATTGTTTTAGATTATTTTCACTAAACCCTTTTAAGTTTTCTGTGATTTTTGTCACTTGACTGTTTGTTGAATTAATGTTCTTCGTGCTGTAGCGAATAGGGTACTTGATGTCTTGTCATTCTTACATACTTTGTTTTTTTTTAAATTTATAATTTGGGTTTTTGTCGTGAACAGCCGGTGATGCAACATCTCCCGCCGGTGGAGACGCATGAATCAGACCGGAATTCAACGTATCAACAAACCTATCCTTCTTTGATTTCGAATCCTCAATCTAGCTGGTTTAGGCGAAGATCTATAAAGATTATCATGCTCGACGACGGCACTCCACTTCAAATGCTCGATGGCGGATTCGCTGGAAATTAGGGTTTATTCTTGAACAAAGACGACAAAGTTTGAGGCTAGCAACTTGAATTTTCTGTTAATATATTTCAATGTATCAGGCTGTATTTTTTATGTATTTCATTGTATTTATTATCTTTTTTTTATTGTATTTCAATGTATCCCGCTGTATTCTATGTATTTCATTGTATTCACTGTCTCGCTATATGCCATGAATGTATTCATATGTTTTTTTTAATTAATATAATTTATGTATTCAGATGTATTATATAATTTCTTTGAAGATTGCTATATTTTTGGAGTATTTTTCAGTTGAGGATCTTTTTTATAACTGAAAATACAAAATTTGTGTATTATAATTGAGTTTGTTGAGTTATATTAGGAGTCTATTATGTTAATTAGTTCACTTTCCGTTTAAAAAAGTGTAATCCCTTGTTTCACGCCGTGAATACAGTCGAATTCAATAATCTGTCCAGCTGTAATCCCATATTTCACGTCATGAATACAGTCGAATACACTCGAATACAAAAATTTGTTTAGCTGTAATCCCATGTTTCACGCCTAAAAATGCTACTGTATTAATGAATACAGTTGCTTAAATACATCGAATACACTCTAAAAATCCTAAACATAGCTATAAAAAGTAATATAGTAAATATTAGTTACAACTAGCTAATAACCACTAAAACATAGTGGTTTCTGAAAGTTTCTCTATACAAAACAACAATATCAATTGTAACACAATCCCAGACTAATTTCAAGTATTATAAGTTCCAAAGTGGCGTAAGTGGTGTGTGGACTATTCTATCAAATCTTCGAAATGGGGCCTAATAATGCTTGGACATCTTGTAAGTAAATAGGTATATAACATTTCAACCAGCAAAGTCTTTTTTTTTTTTTGCGAATATTAATCTGTAATATTTTATTTTATCTTGGTGATGAATGAATACCTTCGAATAACGGTAAAATTATCTTCGTGTGATTTTTTTTTTGTGATTTTTTTTTTTTGAGAAATCTACCAATCTATACTAAAATAAAAATTTATTTATCAATTTTATTTAGGATCGTACTTAATTACTTTCTAAATCTATATTTATCATTTATGAACAAATCATAAAAGAAGAAAATAGAATAATCCTTTTAGCATCTCGTTCTCTATCCTTCATCAGCCCCCTCTTAAAAATGAATTTCATCTAGTTTTCAAAGATTTCATATCCCATTCTTTCCCCCTCATACGTATCATCCAAAATCGGTATTTCTCTAACAATGTAAATAAAAATGACGAAAATTTGCCTCTAAAATTCAGCAGCAAAGGGTTCTCCATCGACATCCATTAAAAAACTTTTAAACTTTGAATTCAATATTTAAATTTTTCGAATTTGTAATTTGTTTGGATTGGGTGTTCTTCCAAATGGTGGAGAATATACTTTGTAGTTTATATCTCAATTTTAAGAAAAATTGATTAAGTTTAGAGTTAGTTTTACGTAAAATTTCAAACTGAAACTCAAAAAAAATGAAGTTGCAGGAATCGTATGATAAATGTATCTCGATTGTTTTAGAATTGTATCACAATTATATTAAAACTGTATATTACTTGTATCTGATACATTAATACCTAAAATAATATCGAATAAAATACTAATACAATTATAATATTATATTATATTTTAAGTTTGGAGTTGTGATTCAAACTTAGAAGAAGATGAAGATCATACTTGTATCACAATTATTTTCAAAAATGTGTCGCGGTTTGTATCACAAATGTATGAGAGTTGTGTTAGTATTGTATCAGGTATTATTTTATATATTAATGTATCAAATACAAGTTAGATATAATTGTGATACAAGTATGATCATTTATGATACAATTATGTTTTAAGTATTGATGTATCAGATACAATTATGATACAATTAATATACAATTAATTATCATACAATTCCAACAACTTCTTTGAGTTTCAATCTGAATTTTCACCTAAAATCAACTCTATACTTAACCAATCTTCCTCAAAATTGATATATAAACTCCAAAGGATATTCTCATTCACTAGCAAGAATATCCAATCCACATAAATCACAAATCTGAAAACTCGAAATTGTATGTATGCATGCTCGAGAATCATGTGTATTTTTGGTCTTCGAATGGACCAATTTATGGATGACTGTGTTAGACAAACAAACTGAAAAAATTAGGAAAAGGATTAAAAAAAAGGAGAAATGAGAGAGGAGGAAAAAAAGAGAGGAAAGAATTTAATTGAAGACACTAATAATGAGGGTAAGAGCCTTTTAAGGGGGAATATATACACAATTTGTAAAAAAATAATCTAAATACTTATTGAAAACTACAAAATCTAAAGAAAATAGGTAAAGAAATCTCTATTATAGTATATATACTAAGGGAGAAATTAAAAAATAGCCCGATTTACAAGTGTTCATTCAAAAATCGCCACAGTTTCAAAAGTAATCGAAATTTAGCCATTTTTCATGTAAAGATAAATCTGAACGAAAACACTATTCAAAATCCGAAAAATACTCCAATATAATATACTGGAGTTCCAGTATAATATACCGGTCGAGCATAATATACTAAAGATTAGAGCACCGGTGCTCCAATCTCCAGTATATTATACTAGAACTTTTCGCGTATTGGAGTTCCAGCATGAAGTTTATACAGAGGTGCACCGATTTCCAGTATATTATGCCGGAACTTTTCGTGTTGCGGCAAAATAGTGGCTATTTTTCAATGACTTTACAAACGCTAGCTATTTTTGAATAACCAGTCCGAAAACTCGTTAACCCGTGCTATTTCTACAAAAAAAACTCCCTATTTTTTTTCCCTCTCTTCTCTAGAGTAGCATAGCTATTGGTGGTGTGCAAATTGCAATCATTTATCAATGGTGGGTCGATAGTTGTTCATTTTTTAGGCCCTATACAGCCTTGCCCTTCTTTACTTTTGAATTGTCTTGCAAAAAGTTATTCTCAAAGGAATTATACATCAAAAGTGGTTAATAGATTCTCCCAATTGAATAGACTAATATTTGATTTCTTCAAAGTTCAAATGGGTAAGTGTCTTTAGAATATGTTTTCATAACTCTTTTAGTAGTTAGTTCTATTATATTGGTTCAGGGGCGGATCTAATTTTAAGCTTATGATTCCCGTGAATCTAGTAGTTTTTGCCTAAATATTGTATTTATAAATTTTGTGAATGCAGTATTAAAGCATAGTAATTAATGTTAAATAAAGTTTTTCACTTCTGATGCATGAAAAATATAAGAAAGCCACTGCTAATTTGTAAAAAAAAAAAAAGAAAAAAAAAATTGGCATTAAACAGAAGAGATATCTGTACAAGTTGCCTAAGTAGAGCAATGGGTGCTGAATCATGTCCTTTTCCTATATCACTATATCTCTAAATAAGCTAATTGCTGATACAGAAAACACCACAATTGCACATATACATAATCTTGTATTATATATCTTTACACTGTGTATATCACTTAAATCCTTTTGTAATAGACCAATACTCTGGCCAATCAGGGTTCAGATCTCCTTTGGATATACCTGTAAAAGCAGAACAGTTAGTTATAGAAGAGTTACTAATAGGTAAAAGTTAGTGGTAATCTGAGTATGAAATTAGGTGGCAGCACATGGCTGATGAAGAGCAGCCCAGTACATTAAGCTCCCGCTATGTACGGAATTCTGAGAAGGATCGGGCAACAAAGGTCTATCATACGGAGCCTAACCCTATATTTTTACAAGAGGATATTTTCACGGTCCGAACCCGTGACTTTCTGGTCGCATGACAACAACTTTACCAGTTATACTAACACTCCCCTTCTGGGGGCACATGGCTTATGACACACCAATAGAATAATAGAATATTTTTCAAAAGCAAAGATGATATAGCAATAGTTACCTGAAACCCTGCTTTGTGGAAACTGGATTATAATTTCATGTGCAAATGGATTGTAGATTTGTGTTTAACTTTAGTCTTTCTTGTGGGAGTACTTTAATATATCTATAAAATGATCCCATCTTGCATGCTGAGACCTGCATTTGTGATAATATGTTAGTTAAAAACCAGAAAATAGAACAAGATGGCCTAATACATAAATGAGTGATTTTTTATTTTTATTTTTAAAACTAGGGAACTCGCAACTACTATCCTTCGGATGCACTCTGGGTAAACCTCGTTCCAGTGCAATAGCTCATAAATTACACTGAAGAGGGGCCCCCTGTTTGCTCGATGGACAGAACTTCAAGGTCAAAAATTAGAAGTTTTGCCCAAGTAACAAACGATGAACAACACTTGTTAAATTTGAAGTTCTATCACGGAAACAAGCAGGGACAAAAATTTAAGACTGTCCACTTGTTGTCTTCCTTTCTCAACCTATGGACCCAAGCAACTTGCTCTAATATATGATTTTCCTAGGCCCCATCATTCAAATTGGTTGTAATATCTCTATTTAAAAATCAAATTGGTGACTTTTCTTAAAGCCTAGTTGAACTGGCCATGTGACTCTTAGCATGTAACCAAATCTTGAAATTGCTTATATCAAGGAGAAAATAAAGGGATGAGATAAACATTGACTTACAGCTTCAATATCAATTTTGTAAACAAGTAGCTTTCTTCTTTCCCTGCAGCTAATTCTATATGCCACAACTACATGTGCAATGGCCAATGCTAATGAACATATAAATAGTGCCATTTCCATTGCTTTAACGTAGCCTCCTCGATCAGAGCTCGAAGTGTTTGCAAATACATAAGAAGCTTTTAAGGAGACAAACACCAAAGATGATATTGAACATATTGTTGCAATTCCCAAATATGGTCCTCTTGATAGTCTTGGACCATCACATAAGCTATATACGCCTACATTCAAATTCATAAAATACAATCTTTTTAGTTTTCAATTCATAACCCTTTTGACAAAATATTTAAATTTCCAAAAAAATTGTCCAATTTGAGTAAAAGAAGTCAGTCTAGTGCACGAAGTATTTCGTATAGGGCCGCACCCTGATGCAGGGGCGCACCTGATGTAGACAGCCTACCCCGATGCAACCAATTAAAAATATTTAAGACAACAAGTGAAAGGGTTAAGACAGTAGGTGATTTCTTTTTATATGTCTAAACCTTGAGTTACTCAATACATGTACTGTATCGAGGTGTGCGTAAGGTGGTCCAAATATTACCACCGTTAGAAAAAGGGTTAATTTGGTCACTGAACATGGAAAAAAGGACAGCCTGGTGCATAAGGTATTCCGTATTCATGCAGAATCCGGAGAAGGAATACACCCCAAAAGGTGTGATGTAGATAGTATATCCTAATACAAGAAGTAGTGGCTGGCTGCCCCTAATCTATACTGTTGCTTCAAGATTCCCTTTCTTGCCACTAATTACTATAACAGTAAAACTACAAAATTATTTTTGGTCACATTAACTGAACTATGTGTGAATTGCTCAGAAAATACAAATGATCAGAATATCAAATGTTGCTTTATAAAAATATACTTACATAAGATGATGACAGACCTAATGATGGAGATAAGAGGAATATCAACAAGTGAATACCGAAAATCATAGTTACTCAGATGGGAAGAAAGAGTTTGAACAGAAAAAGAAGATGGGGAAAGAGAAGCAGACAATAAGGCTGAAGGGATAAGTGTATCTGCAATTACAAGAACAATAGGGGCAGAAAAAAGTAGAAGTGATATGATCATAGAAATCAAGAAAAAAAGAGTTTTGACCCATCTTAAAACTCTGGTTTTTCTATCTTCTTTTAAAAATCCCATCTCTGTATTTTCTTCTGGTTTGCTTTGAATTCTGATTGGAGATTTTGGACTTGGTTTTTGTTGTGTTTTTTGGTGTTGAGAAATGGTGGGAAAAGGGCTTAAAAGAAGAGAATAAATTTACAGGGAAAGAAGGGGCTAAGTGTTTGATGATTTGACTTGAGAAAATGAGGTGAAATTTCAAGGCAGAAGGTATCGGTCAAATATAGGAAGCTGCCCTCTGCTTCTTGGTATTTGAGGTTGTTTCCTTTTCCTTTTTGTTTTAGGTTTTTCGGATTTTTCGTATCCGTTTTGGAACTCGACTAACCTAGATTAAAAGAAAAGGCGACTTCTATTAGGATTATTTTTCATTCATTGAGCTTAAACTTTAAATCTCATTTAATCCTATCTATTTTACGACAAATTTTTGCCAGGGGCGAAGCCACCCTTAAGTCGTAAGGGTGTTCATTTGACCACCCTTTGTCAAATAATTACATTATATATATAGGCACAATATAACGTTTTAAAGGTATATAACATATACTAAGCACTCTTTGTCGGATTTTTTTTTCTTTTAAATTTGAACACTCTTAGGAAAATTCTTAACTTCGTCACTGGGGGCAAAGCCAGGGTATGGGATGCGAATTTGCTCGAATCCAGTAGCTTTTGTTCAAACTCTATTTTTGTCTTAAGAAATTCATTAAATATATATATATTATTAATTTTGAATATAGTAACTAAGAAGAATTACGATTCCGAGCCTATAAATTTAAATCTTGGCTCCGCCTCTATTTTTGATGATAGAAGTTGTGTCTTATTGTGTCATTGTGTGCGCAAAAAGTTTGGCTTTCTTACGTGGACTAACGGCAATTACCGAATTAACTTTCTTACCGACAATCAACTGTCTCAATAATTTAATACTCCTCTTTGGATCACGAGTATAATAGATTAAATTTACTTTTTTTTTAAATCTAAAAAATTTGGCTTTCTTACGTGGACTAGTTGTTTTTGTCAGATAAAATTCATTTCAAAATATTTAATATTTTAAACAACAAAAAGTTACTTATTAAGTACATTTTTTCAGATTTACTTAATCTTTAAATTAATAAAATATTAATCAAATAAGATGATTAAAGAGTAATAAAGGATAATTTTGACACATACATCTATATTGATATTATTAAATTTATTTTAAGGTTGGGCCAAAAAAATCTTAATACATACCCAGAGAGTGAAAAATAGTTGAAAGATTAGTTTAATAAAAAAGCTGCGTGTAAGTTGAAATGTTGTATAACTTATAAATGATTTTGAATCTTTAAAATTATAAAAATGTGAAAAATAGAGTAACATTAAACATTTTGAGATGTACTAAAACCATACAAATTGATATAGAAAAGTATTAGCGTGTACATATTTTTCTAAAATATTAGTCAATTTTGATGGTGGCGTAATTGCACGTAATAGTGTTAGGTGCTTTCACTGTTGCCAAGTTTCTGCTGAGGAGATTTTTTTTTTATATATAAAAAAATCATGAGTGGGGTCAGTTAATATTGAGATGAGAACTTCTGCTACAGGTTATGTGAAATGAATTTAGAATTACAAAATTTGAAAATAAATCACAGCAAGTGGAATCACAAAATTATAAATAAATATACAGATATATTTTTATATATCTAGTGCCCGTTTGGACATAAGATTTGATGGAAGATTTTTTCAAAAAACTTTTACTTTTTTTTCGAAATCAGCGTTTGTTCATAAAATTTTCAATTTTCACTTGAAGATGCATTTTGGAAATTTTTGAAAATTTGAAAAACTGCAAAAAGCTGTTTTTCAAAATTCACTCAAATCACTCACAAAACTTCAAACACAACTCTTAAATTTGAAATACCATCACTTGAAAAAAAAAATCACCATTTTTTCGAATTTTACAATTCTTATGTCCAAACGCCTACTTATTAGAAAGAGAATATGTGCAAATTATGCACAGAAGTCTCTGGAGGGAGTTGGCCTTGGCAGTCTTAGGAGAGGTAGAGGTAGGCCAAAAAAATATCAAGACAAGGCCATGCTTCAGCTGTTCGAGGACATGACCCTTGATAGGAGGGTGTGGGGGTCAAGAATTAGGGTAGAAGGTTAGATAGTCGAGCGTTTCTTGGTTCGTACTACTAGTAATGGTGTTAGTCTTGTATTTTTTATTTGTAGATTTTTATTACTACTTGTTGTCAGACGCGGAGGTAGAATTTGAACCTTATGGATTCGCGATTGTAATCTTTTTAAGTTACTGGGTTCTAAATTAATAATTTGTACATACTCATTAGATTTTTTAATACAAATACAAGGTTTGAACAAAAGCTACTGGGTCCGGCCGAACCTGCAAGTAACACTGTGCTCCGCCCCTGCTTGTTGTCTCATTCTCTTTGATGTTCTTATTGGACTGCTGATGTTATTGTTTGTTGCTACTGCTTCTTTTTCCTCTTTTTTTGAGCCGAGGTCTACCGGAAGCATCCTCTTTAGCTACCTTCTCAAGGTATACAAAAGGTCAGCATATATATTATCTTTCGCAAACCCCACTTATGAAATTTTAATTGGTTGTTGTTGTGGAATATATGCAAATCATTTTGCCAAGATGACTTTCACAAAGATTGCTACACTTCTTTCTTGAAACTTCTCATTCGGGCTTTGTGAAAAACTCAATGGACAAAATAATAATAATTTTAATTGTAGCATCACAAGTTTGAATCCTATTGTTTTTCTTACCATAGATTAACCCTATAATCAAATTCATTATTCCCTATTTATTTTATTTCCTCACAACTAATAATTACCCTCAGAATATCAGGTCTAAACCACCACTCGTGAACCTGAAATTAGTTGAAAAGAAAATCATTGAAGATAGGAAATCAGTAATCATACGCTTTAATCTAATGTTGCTTTTTTCTAACTTTCAACATTTTAATAAATGCTAAAAAAAACATTTTAATAGATGCTAGAACCTTCAATAGTAGATAGCATTAGTGAATTAGCACCAATTTTAACTTCTTTAGGTCAAAATCAAATTTAATGCTTATTGACTAAGATATAAAGTCATAATTATGTGAATAGTATCTTAACTCCTACTTAGTTCTAGCACGGCTGGTTTTCCAAAAATCAGGTTATTTTAAAAAGGGAAAATTGTCAAATATATTTGTCAAAAGAATATTTTTGGAGAGTAATAATTATTTGACTAATCAATTTAAAAGGTATTTTTATTAATATTAGAGCGTCAATTTGTTCGTGTCAAGATTTCAAAAAGATTTATGGGGAGAAAGGAAGAGATCAAGATTTTCAAGAAAGACTTGCTTTTTTTAGGGAATGCTTTATCCCCTTCTCCCTATGTGAAACTTCTTGGTGCGAGTCGAATTTAGTCGGGGCGCTTTAGCCAAAACGAATGCTATTTTGGCTATTAACTTCTCTATTACTATGTTATTATACGCCGGAATACCCCGATTAACTGGCTTTTGTAGCAAATACTAATTGTTCTTCACCGCTTTGGATTGTAGGGCTTATTTCCGAGCCCCAATGGGAGTAGTGGCTAGCGTTATAGCTCGTTGGGTGGTCGGAGGTGCTAACCGCCGTCTATCCGAAGGGGATGATAAGGACTTGTCCTTCCTTGAATTAAAATTTTAATGAAAAATTATATTTAATATTCACGGGTATAAATACTAATAATGAAAAAGGAAAGGAAGAGAAGAAAAGACAAAGAATTGGTCGGTTTCTAATTTTGCCCTTTTATGGGACAACTCAAATAAAATTGCAATGCAATATTCTTGTTTAATGACACAAGAAATTCTATATATGCAAAATTAACATAATATGTGCCTTTGATTGGGGAAAATTTTGTGTTTTTCACAAGAGTTGAGTCATCTGGGCAGTGTACCTGATCTAGTTCTATGGATCTTGCAGGAATGGCCAGCCGCCAATGAAAATAATGGCCAAAATTTAAACAGAAAATTGTCTTCATTCAAATCTTATGATGAATGATAAATTGTTTATTAATTCTCTCTTAACTAGATTGATTACAAATTACAATAATAGTTATCGTCTTGGAATTTGATACCACCATGTGGTAACACATGCCAAATTTTGTTCTTCCAAATTCTTAAGCACTAAGGGCCCGTCCAGTACACTAAATTCTCGTTATACGCGGGTTTGAAGAAGAACCAGATCACAATAATATATTATACGTAATCTTATCTTGTATTTTTACAAGAAGTTATTTTTACGGCTCGAAACCGTAATTTCCTAATTATACAACAATAATTTTACTAGTTACGTCAAGCCTTCCCTCCGTAATATTTTATGTTGATTCTTGTGATATCCCCTCATTAAGCATCTTTAACCTTGAACTAATTAAAATGTGTGTGTTTGGTCCCTTTACATAGAAAATATGTTATATTTAAATTATTTTAGAACTACATTACTTTTAAATGTGAAGTAAAAATATAATACATGGATAGAAATAGATTAACAGTCAATATTTCTTTTAAATTGTGAAGATTTATGATTTAAAAAAAGAGGTGCACTTTTGAATCAGTTGAGAATTAAATATGTTAAATTAGATATCGTGAAATCATTGTTTAATCTGCTAAGAAAGGACAATTTGGTGCATAAAATATCCCTCGTTCACTCAGGATCCAAAGAAGGACTGCGCTCAAGGGGGTGTTATGTAGCTAGCCTATTCTAATACAAGTATTAGTGGCTGATTCCACAGTTCGAACCTGTGAACTATACGTCACACAGAGACAACTTAACCATTGCTCCAAAGCATCCCCGTTCATACATGGTCCGGAAAAGGGTCGCACCCGAAAGAAGTGTAATATACGCAGTCTACCCTAATACAAGTATTAGTGGTTAATTCTACGATTCGAACTCGTGACCTATAAATTATAGGGGACAACTTAATCGTTGCTCCAAAGCTCCGGCCTCTTCTATTGTTTAATCTATTACGTTTGAATTTTGCAAGAAGAAAGATGTTTGGTATTGAAAAATATTGTTGTTAGGCTATTTGGAGGTTTATTTGGCCATGCTTATGTTTCTGCGTGGTTAGTTAAGTGCCCAAAAATAGTTATTATACTGTTCACATTGCAGGAGAAATTGCTGTGGAATAAGTAAGCTCTCACTCGTTTATTAACGTTGAAAAGAATCCTATTTTAATTTAAAAAGGAAATATATGAAGATTC